TTACACGCACTCACACACACATTACACGCACTCACACACACATCACACGCACTCACTCACACATCACACGCACTCACACATTACACGCACTCTCACATATTTTTCTTTTTTCTTTTTTCTTTTTTCTTTTTATTATATAATTGGTTTCTATAGACTTATTGATTTATTGATCTGAAATTCGGGAGGTGCAGACCTGGTGACCTAAAACACAGTTTAGGCTCCAGCCTCTACAAATTTTCCTATACACACTACTATTATTTCATTTCAACTGCCTCCGTGGCCGAACGGTTACCATGCCGGACTGCCACGCAGAGGTCCCAGGTTCGATTCCCGGGCCGGGAGAAATATTTGTATGGCCTACAATTATTTCTCTCGTGAGTTTGGGTGTAATTTGTGGTTGTCTATATGTGTGTCCATGTCACCCGCGACACAGGGTTTCCCTAGTGCGGGGCTATGTTGAGTGTGTGAGTTATTATTATTATTATTATTTAAATTGTTACAAATTTGTGGAGGAAATAAAGAATTTACTTACTTACTTACCTGGCCTATATTATGAATATTATATTACCTATTAGAAAAGTTGACTGAAAAAAGGTTTTGTAACATAGATTTGATACTTACCAACTTTAGATTACATGAAAATATTGCTAGAAGTACCTAGCTTCACAGCTGGTGGTTGACTCCGTACCGGAGCCACCAGGCATGCAGAGATAAGCACATTGAGTTTCGTTTCAACATTAGACTGCACAACTTTGAAAGCAGAAACTTCGATACTCGTATCCTCCGCGTAAAGGAAACGTTTCACATCATGCCAATAAGAATAGACAAGCACTTGTACTTGATAGATTACCATCCAACTTCTGGTGAACCTGGTAGCGGTTCCTTTTTGCACTGCTAACTTTTGTTTACATACCAAACCACGTGGCATTGCGTGACAGACTAGAATAGAATGTATGCGGGATGTTAGCGTGACGTAGACGCAGTATGGGTAGAAAGGTCGACCGATCTACTAATCGCGCGCTCGATACATCACTCCCCCGCCGTCGCTATCCGCACCCCATCGCCAAATAGATCTAAAATGCGTTCTGTGCATTTACGGCCATTGTTAAAAATGTTTGCAAGTGTCGTGCAAGTCAACGACCTTTGGATCAAATTTGTATACCGCAATTAAATAAAAATAGGAATCTACGAATTTTTTTTTTCAATTTATTTTTTTAGTGATTTAAGGTTCAGTTTCGGATACAGAATGACCTCTGTAAATATGGCGAGAATGCAAATCAACACATTGTATAACAAACACCACGCATCCCATTCTCACTACAAAATAAAGCCACCGTCAATGCCGTGGGATAATTCTGCCATCGTTAGTTAAAAGAGCGCCTGTGACAAAAACCCAATCGAAGAAAATAATGTTTAAAGAAATTAAATTGAAAAGAAATCTACCTTTCTCTTGCGGTAACTTCATCCTTGAAAAAATATAATTTGTGACAGATCGGCCCTTATTTTACTGATCACAGCAGTGTACATAACAAATATTTTGAAAAAATATCACATGCGTCCTTGCAACTAACTGCGTGTTTAATTTTTTTTTTTCATTCAGCTCGCCTGGAAAGTAAACAATTTTATTTAATTGTAGAAAACAAACATTTTGGAGATTATTGGTCACGAGGAACTCGACTATGTTACATGATTATTATATAAGTACATTAAAAAATGGTTGCAAACGATGGTCTCGTATGTTATTGAACGTAAGTTTACAAAAGGGTATACCTACGTAAGGAATATTGCCTATGTGTAAGCGTGGGTTGCGGTTGCAGGGCGACTTCACATTCAGCGCGCTGGGTGACAAGACGCACAGTACCGACTTCAGCAGCGGCAAATCGGACAGTGAGTGTACACACTTCTTATTGTTCACCCTCATACGCCTTAATACATTCTATATCGCATACACAAAGGCACCCACGAACCTCGATTTTAAGAAATAATATCGCCATTTGAATACATACATACACCGATTTCGATCTAAAGGACGTCGTAACATATCCGAAATCATATAATACAATACATCAACTACCATTGTAATAATATTACTTTTCAAGTCTTCGTGTAGTGAGACAACGTTGGCTTCAACTAAATGCGATCGCTACACTCACGGTATGGATTTAACATATTGAAGGACATAACACTGGCACGTGCTGGGTTCTGTTAACATCTGGTAACATGTAATATTCTGTGGGCCAAGCTCTCAGTTGAGTCGACCGCAGGCGGCCGCGGCCGCGGCGCGGTGAGCCCTCCCATTTAAATAGTGATAACGCCACGAGCACCACCATGTCCCGTATTACAGAAATGGAAACACCTCCATACAACATTATTCTATGTAAGATTTCATGCATTCAGTTGAAACGGTGATGAGAACTATTATGTAATACTGACCGATGGTTGTTGCGCCGGCAGCGTTGCGCGCGGAGCTCTGCAGTAAGTACCGCTCTGCAGTGTTTGCTATACGCGCTGTCCGCACGCCTCGCCACATGCGAGCATGTGTCCCTCGCGCTGCCCTGCACGCCGACCCAGTTGCAACACGGCGACTATCCGACCGGTGGCCCGCTTTAGATCATCAACGCATCTTGTGAACGGTCTCATCGACGCTGCGCCCGTTCACTTTCACTCGCGAGTCGCAACTGGCTCGTGCGCATTCGCCGCGATTTCATTATCACGCGCGAAAGCGAAAATACTGAACACAGTTTCGGGGCCTTCGGTGGTTAACAGTCAATCGTTCATGTGCTTGCATTCCATTATTGTCATTACCACAGGTCGGAAAAAGATGTTACAAACCTATGGATACATATATAGATATAGAGCTACAAGGAGTGACAGAGAGTTGTTAAAACCACCAAATTTTAATTCATTACTAATTCCGAATTACGGATTTCCGGCATAGTTTTACTGCATAGTAGGACAAAGCTAGTGGTTTTGTCCTACGATGTTGGACGACGATGTTGTAAATAAAAGTTGGATTTTAAAGTAATCCATGTCAGAAAAATACAGTAGATAACTGACTTTTCATTACAGTAAACCTGCTTGGATCGTGGGGAGTGGCACAGAAGCTTGGAGGCCTATACCCAGCAGTGGGTGAGGTCAGGCAGTATATGATGATGATGATGATGATGAAACCTGCTTGGCGGAAGAAATAAGTATGGTGGCAGTACTTCACTGGACGTTCGTTCTCACGAGGAGCTCTACTGCTACTAAAATGATGATAATGACGAAGATGCTAATTATGCTGAAAACCATTTTCGGAAATCCTGAATTCTTTTTCGAATAATGAATTAAAATTTGGTGGTCTTAACAACTCTCTATCTCTATCACTCTTTGTAGTTATAGTCTCTTTTTTTTGAAGACGGAGTAAAATGACAGTTCATGGCGCAAAAGTGTTACCCGCTTGCGAGCAGTTAGTGATTGCAGTCGATAAATATTCCATCGACTATCGACTGAATATTGGTCACGCTTACGGAATAAATAGCCGAACTTGTTCCATTTGAATCAACCTTGACTTTGATTGATTGATTATTCATTCAATTACTGAGCACAAGTTCATTTGAATTGTCCATTTTTGTAAGTTCATTCATACATACTTGTTACTATAACGTATTTAGAACTATTTTTATGAAAAATACGGAGGCATATTTTAAAGTTTTTTTTATTTTCATTTAATATAGATAACCAAATCCGGCTATTTTTGTTAAAATGTATATGAATAAAAATTGATTTCGATATTAGTAGGCCAACTGTCAAAATGAGAATAAAGAAGGCAATCACGAAATCAGTTATCGTTAGAACGTTGTAACATTCACAATTCAGTCATTTTTGGCGAAATTTCATCTCCTTTCACAATCTAGCGATAAAACTGTCTACAACAATTATGTATCTATTTAAAATTTACAAATGTCATTTTACTTCGTCTTCAGAAAAGACAGACTATATATTTATACATGTATCTATGTGTGTGGAGCATCTTTTTCCGACCATTGGTCGTTACAGTAGGACGGCACTAATATATATCGGCGAAGCTTCGTTGCTGAGGATCCAAATTCTTCGCACTGTCCGCTTCGCATCAACGTAGTATAGTAAGACGAGCGCGGTAACTTCCGTTCGGCCGCCCGCCGGCTGCGGCCCGACGTTGCACGCGCGCAAAGGCCTCCCGGAGGCCGCTAACAGCCGCCCCTTGCAGTCTCGGCCGGGTCCATGGCCGACGCGGGCGCGGGGCCGGCGCCGGGGCGCGGGGGGCTGCGCGCCTGCAGCGGGCTGTGGAGCGCGCAGGCGGACGGCGCGCGCGCGGCGCCCGGCGTGCGGCGCTCGCTGCCCAACATGGCCACGTCGCTGCTGCTGCACGAGCCCGCCAAGCTGTACCCCTACCACCTGCTGCTCATCTCCAACTACCGCCTGCCGCCCGACGTGGACCGGCTCAACCTGGAGGTGAGGGCGCGCCGCGGCGGCGCCGGGCGCCGGGCGCGCCCTCACTCGCCGCTGACGCGCGTCTCGTTGCAGCGCCACCTGTCGGACGCGGAGTTCGAGGCCATCCTGCAGGTGGGCCGCCAGGACTTCTACCGCCTGCCGCAGTGGCGGCGCAACGAGCTCAAGCGGCGCGCCAGGCTCTTCTAGGCCGCGCCGCCGGCCTCGGGACGTGCCAGCTTCCCACGACGCGTCGTCCACCCGTAGTAGCGCGGCGCGATCGTTCGGCGCTTCGTCGCAGCGTCGGAGGTCGCGCAACTGTTTTTAATTTTATTGTGGCGGGCACTGCGGGTCGCGTCGCGTTATATTTAGCGGGCGCCTTCGCCGCGTATCGCGCATGTGTCGTAGTCGTAAGTGATACGAAGTGTAAAGTATCGCGATCGCGTCCTTTGGAATTGCAAATGTGCATCGAGTCGATTGCGACCGCGCACTGCGTGCCTTGTTGAAGCCTCGCCGTACTCGGATTTTTAAAGTTGGACCGGTCGACCGGCAGTAGGGGGAGGTGGTGATGCAGATATATTTTGCCGGTCCGCAGTTTTGAAACCGTTATTTTGTTACAAATTTATTCCAGCGGCTCCGTTTTTCGATCTCGTGGAGCGCAGCGTCTAACTCATATTCGATACTAGATGTACTAATTCTATGTTTTCCTCCTGTAACCGACTCAGTCGACTTTTTTTTTGCCGCTATTAGGATAACATTAGGCGCTGTGGTTCTCGAAATGGAAGTATAACGCCGTTGGAATAAGTTTATGCCAGGGTGGACATAAAATGACCATTGCACCGGCTAGATCTATTATTCCTTGCAACTAAGACTGTCTAAATCACGTTTAAATGGTCTGTCCTCACATATCAGGGCCGCGCCGGGACGTGGACGGACCACTCCGTCAGGGGCTCAAAAGAATAACGGTGCATATATTTCGATGAACTCTTCCACACATGTCGGTGCAGGCAGGTGCGCTGATGTTTTCATTGCACGTTGTTATTTGTTGTTTGTATTTTTACAAACGAAATTTATTTTTACAAATCGTGAAAATTTTTAGGAATCTTGTTTTGATACCGTGCAGTAAGCAGTGAGCAGTGTACACCTTCAATTTTACCATTATACTTATTCCAAAGTGGTTGCTTCAACACGTTCACTGTTACGTTGAATCAACCAAATCCATTTGAGGTTGCATAGACTCTTAATAACTTTTAGATTTGACTTTTATGGTTTTTTATATTCTATTTCCCCGTAATGCACTGACACGATACTCCGACACGTAAACAAAATGATGCCCGAAGGGTACGAACGGGCGGCTGCGGCCTATCCGCGGTCCAGTCACGTCCCGGCCGGGCGCCCGATAGGCGCGGATAGACCTTTACTATCTGTCCGGCAACATTTTAAAGACTCGACTACGGTCCCTCTGGAACGGGCCGACGGCCGAGCGCGACAACGGACCGACAGTCGGCCGAGTCGCGCTCGGGCGGCGCGCGACGTTCAGAGACACGCTTTGAAGTAATAAAACGCATTTTGAATCGACTTTTGGTTTTATTCTCCCCACGCCCGAACGAGGGCGCTTCACGGCTCGGGCACGAAGTGGAAGTTGTACGAGCCGCGGAAGCGCACGAGACGCGCCAGGGCGGGCGCGGGCGCGGGCGGGGGCGGGGGCGCCGCCGCGCGCCGCGACTCGGCGTAGGTGTACCACCAGTACAGGCAATTGTTCTCGCGGATGAACCAGCGGTGCCACCATCCTGCACACACAACGCGTCAGTGCGCGGACGTCGTCGGGATCTCACTCGCGCCTGTTGACTGTCCTCCGAATCACTAATTAAGCCGTTCGTGGCTCGGTTGCGTTTTCAGTCTGTCGACTACGGCGTTGCGTAAACGTAGATACTAGGACCCGAAGTTCCCGAAGGAAGCCATCGCGAGAAGCCGCCGTCGCCTTGGCCGGGGTGACGGCGACCGCACGCAGTTGCCGATTGCCGCTCCTGCTGCTACTCCTGTGCTGATTTTGATTCAAATCGGAATCGATCCGATCGGGAAGCCCTTCCGAATCTCGAAATCAGATGGGTTCTGAGCGGGAAGTTGAACCTGATTCCTACTATATCTTTCTAATTTGTGAGTTAAATCAGCTATTGTGCCGATTTGAAATGTCAAAAGTTTCCGATCGGCCAGTTGTGAATCGCAATTATGCGCCTCGACTCTGAAAGGACGCAGTTTACGATCGGGAGAGGCAATCAAAATCAAGCAGCTGGACGCGGATAACGGGTCGGTGCTTAAACTCCCGAGTGTCCAGTCGGCGTCACCGTGAATGTTGACGAAGAAACACTTATTTCACTTGTGCCGACGCAAACGTCGGCGTCGATACTTACGGGCGAGTTAACCGCACCGGCACCAGTTTGTACTTACTACCTTACATCGATCACTTTTTGATTGGTAATCTGTATATCAAACGGAAGCAACCGGCGACAGCAGTGTCTGGGTCTGCGCATATAATGTTCGATTTCATATTAATACCGTTTGCTTTTATCCAACAGAAGACCCTAACCAAACAGTTTAACCTAAGCGACACCAAGCGAGCGTGTCTAAAACCCGATACTCACTGACGGTGTACGTCTCTGCGCCCATGTCGAGGCAGTACTCGCGCATTGTGTCACACACGGTGCCGAATATAATCCACTGGTGGCAGATGTTGTCGGGGCTGCCAAACATATGCATAAATTATTTATTTTTCTACAAACTGTTCCCCGTAAGTGGGGTAGTTGCAAACTCGAGTTCGCTTTCAAGAACATATTTTCGGGTGCCTTTCCACCAGTGAGGCGAAATGAGGACTGAAATTTGTATGGCCTTTTTCGGTAGAAATGGTCTAGAATGACAAGGACGTACGAGACGAGAATTGAAATATTTGTTTAAGTAATATTAAATTTAAATCGTGTCGCTACCTACGTAGTGTTCATTAACTGTGCATAGTGTGTGTTTCCGTTACACGATTCACACGATACCTCGCGCGTGCTCGCGACGCCTTTGGATTAAAATCGCGAGATTGTGGGGTACGTATGATTTTAGATAAAAAAAGATGGCTTTTCTGCAAATAATTGTACTAGTGCCCTGTAGTTAAATTTCGAAAATTTATCAGTCTTAGTCATTGACTTACAAATGAATGGACGACGGGTCTAATACAAAAACCACGAAAAAATGTCTCAACTCAACCAATCTAAACGTAGTGACATGTAAAGGAATATGAAAAAGCTAAAACGTTGAATTTAAATTACTGTCTAATAGCATTGATGCACTTAGTTGATGACGTTTTAACTGCCGCCAACAAAAACAACGGTTCGATAATGCTTCTGCTTGACTACAGTCGCGCATTTGACTGTTTAAATAGGAAGATTTTAATAGACAAACTGCGCTATTGCGGTTGTGATAAAATAGTTTGCCAGTGGTTTGAAAGTTACTTCAATAATACGACACAAATAGTACAATGTACGGATGTATTGGGGAAACCGGTCAGATCTACCCCTCTCGAGGTCTCTCGAGGCGTGGTTCAAGGTTCTGTTTTGGGACCTACTTTATACTCTGTATACACGTTTGATCTTCTGGAGAATATAAGGTACGGAACTGCACATATGTATGCAGATGATACTCAGATCTTGGTACATACGCCATTAAATATTACTAAAATTAACAATGCTGTTCGTGATGTCAATGAGGATTTATCGGCAATTGTCCAGTGGTCTAATAGGAACGATCTTATATTGAATGCCCAAAAGTGTTTGTATATTTTGTTAGGTACTAAGAATCAGGTAGAGTGTCTAAGAGCCGCAAATCCGCAAATTACAATTGAGGGTAATGTATTAAGTGAGGCCAAGGTAGTAAAAAATTTGGGCTTATTATTTGATAATGGTTTGACTTTTGAAAAACATATCGACTCAAAAATAAAAAACTGTTACGGCTCATTGAAGCATATTTACAAACTTAAACCTTTTCTGATTAAAGAGGTAAGGCAACGATTGGTGGATTGTCTAGTACTTTCTCAACTTGACTATGGAGACATAGTGTACGGGCCTTGTTTACTAAGAAAAGTAGAAAAGAAAATCCAAAAAGTACAAAATTCATGTGTTAGATACTGTTATGACGTTCCTCCTCGCGCACACATAACTCCGTATCTTAATACACTTAGTATTTTAAGTATGAAAAACCGCAGAGTTTTAAAATTAAACACATTCGTTTATAATTTGCGGAAGTCCTGTACTCCAGCCTATTTGGCTAGAAAATTAAATTGGACGAAAATTAAAAGGGATGAGCGTAATGTACGGACAATACGGTATCCTTCTCTACATATAGCACCACCTCCTAGATTAACGCTTTACCGCGGGAGTTTCAAATTCGCTGCATCTAAGTGCTGGAACGATTTGCCTCCTCCAGTACGAAACTCAAAGTCATCTTGTACTTTTAAAAGAAAGTGCAAGCTTTGGTTACTTTCGAGGCAAAGATCAGAAAGTAATTGGATGTAGTTTGTAATTATATTTTTACGTGTGGGTGCTGTTCATCTCTACCTAAACCCCAAATTTGAGTATTTTTAGGTGGAATATTTTATCTATCTCAGGTACTATAAGGACAATAGATTTATTATAACTTTAAGTGAGTATTATATATATATATTTATTATTTTGTGATATCTTTTGGAGCTACTCGAGACGCGTCAGACAAATACTATGATTGAAATGTAGCGAGTTTCAAAAAGGTAGGGTCTGAAAAACAGCTTAAGCTGAGACTCTATCCTTTTTATCTACACAGTATCTATAAGTGATGTTATTTACGACTAAACTGTTTTGTAAATGTAGATAAATAAAGTTCTTTATTATTATTATTATTATTAATTTTGCTTGCTTCGCTATCAGTCGAACAAAAGAAGACTAAAGCGTGAATGACGCTCTGTATACGATTTTAACGCCCTATAAATTCGGACACTTTTTAGCGCCGACCCGACGTCCATATAATTGTAAGTCAATGGTCTTAGTATTTAAATATTTTTATTTTACTATCCACAGCAACAGGCATCGCCGCTAGCTCGCGATGCCTGTTGATGGCAATTTTTGGTGAGAACAAGCGTGGCCGACAAGATTTTAATTCTCCTCTCCTCGCCACGCATACAAATTAAACAAACTTACATATATGTAGGTATATCGAAATAACACTTGTACAAGAGACAAATATACACATTACTTTTGCGTAAGTAATAATAAAGTAAAAGTTTTATGTATGGACGAGCCCTATACCCCACCTACGTTGGGTCGGGCTCGGCCTGTGGCGCGTGGTCGCTTTTTGCTTCGTGGTTACAGGGTGTGCTTATGCTCTTAGGTAGCACAGTGATCAGTACTATGGGCGCTTGATGAGGAGGTTCCATATTCTTATTTGAGCCAATTTATGAAAAAAATATTTTTGTTGGTCCTTGTCAGGGTATTCTGAGTATTGCCTTCAGAATTATCGTTACTCTGGTACTCATAGTACAGGAAATTCGCTAGTTTGGGCCCAGAAATTTGAAGTGATTGTCTGGCATTGTTTCCCTAAATATTTCTCTTTCTGGCATAGCGTCCAATAAAAAAGAATCTAACAGAGAGACGATCGAGATACAACAACGCTATAAGTTGTATAGAGATATTATTTCCACTACATCGGGAAGTATGCCTTACATTTTGAACAATTGTGAAATCTAGTCCCCGTATACTACCTACGTAAGGTGGCGTGCGGAAAAAAATTAACATAGCTCTTTAATGGCGGCCATATTGATAAATGGCAAAAAGTTAATTTTGACTGCAAATTATTATTAAATACCCATAGAGATCCCTACATGCCGATTTTCAGATGAAATAGAGCAAATTTCCATGTACCGACAAAAAGTTTGTATGGCAGACGTAATGGAAAATGGCGAAAAATAAATTTTAACCACAAATTATTATTAAACACCCATAGACTCCCTCACATGCCGATTTTCAATCGAATTAGAGCAAATTTTCATCTGCCGCCAAAAAACACTTCTATGGCAGCCATATTGAAAAATGGCAAAAACCAATTTTGATCACAAATTAGTATCAAGCACTCCTAGGGACCCCCATATGCCAATTTTCAAAGGGATCATTTTTCTGCCGCCAACGAACGCTTCTATGACAGCCATATTTGAAAATAGCGAAAAACAAATTTTGAGCACAAATTATTATTATATTTCTGGTGACCCTCGCATGCCAATTTTGAGCCGGATCGAAGCAAGTTTTTCTTCGGCCGCCATTTTGAAATGGTCTTCTTGAATTTTTTTTAACCCAGGAAGTTGACCAGTGCTACCCTCTATGACTTTCCTTCGAGCACCTCCTACCTATCTCTAATAGTTTCCGTGATAGGAGGCTTTGAAATTTGTATGACGGCCACCTTGCTTGAAATTGACCAGGGTGTATCTCATAAAAATGCACAATAATCCCTCCATGTATTATAGTTTTTGCAGGCCGTTGATCACTCTTTCACCTCTTGGCTTTGGAGTACCTATATCCGCGTACAACGGTATAAATTTTTTTTTCCACCATATCGGGAAGTATGCGTTCTATTTCTATCAGTGAGTAAGAACTTGTAGCTTTATACAGAAGTATATATAATGAAGATACTCAAAAACATGGTAGTAGCACGTAGTACTATGTTAAGAAGTGAATTAATTGTTGAACAAATGATATTAATTGTTTGTAGTATGCCACAAACACCAACATAATAATCGCAGCCGGAATATTTATACGGAATAAACTAAATTGTGAGTTTTTTTCGTTTTGGTAAATTTTTCATTGGCTGAAATCAGATATGGGTACCGAGAAAATTTGTGTACTAACTTTTGAAGACCCCTTTTTATTCCAGGAAAAAATTGAAAATGAGATATTATCGTCCGATTAAATACAAGCTAAACTCAATTTATGCCAGTCGTTTTAGAGCAGTTAGTCCCGCCGACTTTTGACGACTTTGCTTCCTCTTCCGCATTTTTTAAAAGTAATACATTATTAAAATTTCGTCTTCATCCATTTCGAGCGAACACACACTACCGGCTTCCAACACAAAGAACATACAAGCGACTGCAGTCTATCAAACGATTATGTCGTGTAAACGACAAGGAGACTGTCATAAAACGATAAATTGTCGTCACGATCTAGTGGGAACAGCTAGTCACGACAGTCGTTCAACGATAAAAAATCGTCCACGACAGATAGTCGTGATATGGGAACAGGCTAGACACGACAGTCGTCCAACGATGATAAAACGTGACGACATAGTGGGAACGCGCCCTTACGGTTACAGTGCGCTAATGAGCACCCGGCTTAAGACGACGCAAAGTAGCGTAATCCTGCAAATTATATTTTTTTAAATGCGACAAAACAACAATTATTTTTCTCATTTACCTTAGTACTCATTAACACGCGATCATTGAAACCCACACACACACACACACACACACACACACACACACACACACACATACTGCGAACCTACATAACGATATAAGACAAAAATAAATAACCGGAATTACGTGCATTGTTGTCGTTTGGAATAAATCTCTATTTTGTTATTCTTCGCTCTCTAGCGTAGGACTATTTGTGGTTTTTGAAGTTGATTGATTTTTTTTTTGGTTAAAGTTTATTTAGGTATTTTACCATTTTTAGTAAATATAGG